TTAACATTAAAACTTCTGCCTTTACCACTTTGTGAGTATTGGATCTAATAATAATTAAATAGAAATTATAATAAAATTATTAATTATAATAAAATTTATTATATTTATATTAAAAAATACAATTTATATACATCACGAAATACAACTCGAGCTTTGTCTTTCATTAATTTTTGAATTTGAATATCACTACTTTGCTCTTCAGAATAATTTTTATTATTAATAAAGTTATATATAACTGCATAACCTTCAGGATCAGTAAACGGATATTCAACAGAAACAGCTAAAAATTGAATATGCCATACAGTTAAATTTTTGGTAAAATAAGCAATTTCTTCAATATTATTATCATCACTCTAAATAATTTATCAATATTTAATATATATATATCTAACTTTTTAATTTAAACAAAAACATATTTAAAAATTTACTTGTCCATTTATTTTATTAAAATCAATTTCTTCAAAAGTATCATCAGTATCTGAATTAATATTAATTAAAGAGGCTATATCAAAATTAAAAAAAGTTTTTTTTTATTGTATTACGATAATGATAAAAAACAGATACCAAAATATTCGCTTGCATAATTATGCTAATAATAATAATAATTACGTATTATACATTACATAATTTTGCATAAATTTTATTAGTAATGATAAATAAGTTTTCGATTTTTGCATAAAATTTATTATGTATATATATAATGATAAATAAGTTTTTAATTTTTAATAAATATATTGTACATTAAGTAATTATATAATAACAATAATTATACAACCCGTATAGAGTATATTTATTAGTTATACATTCTGTATATATCACTATATATTATGTATAACATAGTATACTTGACATATTTGCGATTCTATACTATATATATATAATATAAATTCATAAAAAGCTGATATATTTTAAGTTGGGTCATAGTACAAATAAAATTTTAAAAATAATCTGGCAATCTGGCTTCTAATTTTATTTTTTTATATCTAAATTTTTTTTTAAATCTCTAAAAAAAAAACCTACCAGAGTAGTAAATCTAGTCAAAAAAATTTTTCAGAATTTGACCTGGCCAACCAATTCATCAAGTTTGTATAGCCTTATACTATTTTTATTGTCTAGTATATATAGACCTCTATCACCATATAAGTATATCGAGCTTTAATTTGATTAGATAAACAAATACGTTCTTATTATCACAAAATAAATTGAAAAGTATGGAATATCATTTTGCTTAAAATTGGGTTGGC